AACATTTCGGTTTGTCAATGAAGCCAACAAGACCAAGAGCGGTAGTTCTCTGTGTCACAAGGTAGCTGACCATTATTAGATCGAACAATGGTTTTATCAGGACCTAGCATACATATTCAGACAGGTGGTCTACGGCGTGGCAGCGGTGCGGTCACAAGTTCCACCACGGTGAGTGCCTTTCTGCGTTCATATCTCTCTGTACTGAATTGATCTTGACTAGCATAATTATATGCTATCATGTTTGTACACACTGCAATTATTTCTCATATTTTTACCTCCAATCGTATGGCAGCAGGTTCATGGTAGCACATGGGTTTGGTAAATCTATTCCAACGAAAAATGGTAGTGTTTGATCATTCCCTTCGTTTTGTATAGCTTTGGTTAACCTTCTGGGTGAGGTGCACTACAATTCCTTGTATGCCATTGAAGTTGAGTGCTTCTGCTTTTTTGTGATATATGGGAGTGAAGAAAAGGTTTCCTACAATTCCTCTACTTGGCCTCAGATCAAATGATTTGAGGGGCAGAAAACGAAACATGATGGTATTCAGTATCAAAGCTAAGTTTTTTTATTCTTTTTGCAGTCATAAAATTTGATGGAATACTAATGCCTGTTGCAGGGTAATTTGCCCTCAATCTGAGGTATTGCCATGAGTATTATCATTTTCTCCCTGCAAATTGCAACAAGGTAATTTGCTGCTAGAAACTTTGCGCATCTATTTTTTTAGGAAAAAGTACGAATTACCCCATCGAACTATCGTGGTCGTCCGAATTACCCCCTTGAACCACAAAACAAGACATTCTTCACCCCCAACTATACAAACCGGACGAATTACCCCCCTCGACCTAATCCGCGGTGGTTTTGGTCTACGCGGCGTACGCGTGGCAGTCCAGTCAGCATTTTATTTATTAAAAAAAGTGGGACCCACATGTTATAGTCTCTCATCTCTCTCTCCTCTGTCTCTCTCACTCTCCGTCTCTCTCACACATCCTCTCTCTCGCGCGCGGGTCAAGCGGCAGCGGCGGCGCACACGGCAGGCGGCGGCACGGGACGGGCGGTGGGCAGGGGCGCGCGGGTCAAGCGGCAGCGGCGGTGCGCACGGCGGGCGGCGGCGCGGGACGGGCGGTGGGCAGGGGCGGGCAGGCGAGCGGTCGGCGCGAAGGGCGCGGACGGCAGCACTCATGGTGGTGCGGGGACGGGCGGAGGCGGGCAGGCAGGCGGTCGGCGTGGACAGCGCGGACGGCTCCCGTCCCGCGCCGCCGCCCGCCGTGCGCGCCGCCGCCGCCGCTTGACCCGCGCACCCTTGCCCACCGCCCGTCCCGCGCTGTCCCGCGCCGCCGCCCGCCGTGCACACCGCTGTTGCCGCTTGACCCGCGCGGCGCGCGCCCCTGCCCACCGCCCGTCCCGCGCCATCCCGCGCCGCCGCCCGCCGTGTGAGAGAGATAGAGATAGAGAGTGAGAGTGAGAGTGAGAGAGAGAGGAGAGAGAGGAGAGACTATGACAGGTGGGTCCCACATTTTTTAAATAAATAAAATGTTAACTGGACTGCCACGTGTACGCTACGTAGACCAAAACCACCGCGGATTGGATCGAGGGGGGTAATTCGTCCGGTTTGCATAGTTAGGGGTGAAGAATGTCCGGTTTTGTGGTTCAGGGGGGTAATTTGGACGACCGCGATAGTTCGGATGGGTAATTCGTACTTTTTCCATTTTTTTAACACCATACCAGAGTTTCCTGTAGTATATATTACAAATTGATCAATAATTTCTGGTTATAACATTTACAAGGTGTTTTTTTAAATGGCTACTTCGTTATAACATGGTGTTCTGTTCATGTGAACTTGTGAAGTGGCTGAGAAAGTCTTTTTAGCTAAAATGCAGTGTGCTATGTTGTGAAGAGTGAAATGAAGAAATGGCAAAAGGGTGAGACATGGGCTTATAGTTCCAGTGATATGAAATCGTTCATCCCTGTCTTGATTCCTAGAAGATGATATTTTTTTCCAAGTAGCTTTGATGAAATGTAGCAATGAGTCAATGACCAAATTTGTAATAATCTTTGTATGGATCTGAACACCATCGATATGATTTTTTTAATGAACCTCTTGTATTATAAATGGTTGTTTGCGGCTTTTTGTGGTTTACTGCTATTTTGATGGATGTCTTTGTCTCCTATGTCACTTGTACTTGTGAATTTGTGGTTATCCGTAGCATTAGTATGGACATGCTATTATTACGTTGACATATGTTTCATATCAAACTGTTATTTGGGTTTATATTCACGCCCTCGTGCTATGTGCTCAAAGGATAGCGGCCAACGTGTGCCTTATCTATCCCGTTACCACTCGCCGCTCATCTTCCTGCACATAAAATTTCTAATCCACTTTTTAAGTTCAAATTATTTACTCCAATTATGAAAATTTGTACTTGAAAATTTTAAATTTTCATTTCAATTTTTAAAACTTTCAACCTTTTGATTTTTGTTTGGCAAATATTTAAATTAGAGGCCTGAAAATGCATCTTTTAAATAAATATTGGCGATAGTCCATTCTATTAAACCCGCCCAGTATATTATTCTTGCCAAGAATATGTCTGACATATGACATATATTGAATTAAGACTCAATTGCACAGATCATACAAGAAATAGTTTTTGCTAACATTATATTTTAAAATTCTTTAAAGAGAAATAAACTTGCACCGTAGCGTTTAGCACGGGCATATTACTAGTGGTACAATAATGGAAAAGGCTCTCTACCTTCTTGAGGTCATGTTAAATGGATTTAACCCAAATATGTTTTAACTTTGCAGTGACTCAATTGTGAAAAGAAAAATTGGCACGTCACACAGATTTATGACTGCTAAATTCTTATGAATAAGTGTAGGCGTGTAGCAACTTTTTCTAGATTGACTGCTAAATCAATTTACCATCTTTTATTGGATTGTCAATTTTTCTAGATTTTTTTTAGATCAATTCAATTTTTGTTTGGATTATACCATCCACACAGTGTATCTCATATGTTTGGGAATTGGTTATGCGTGTTAATAAAAAAAATTAAGGAACTATTTTTTAGGGGCTTCCACTATATATTGGGCTCTTTGGCTTAGTAGAAATGATATGATTTTTTTGATAAAAACACTCTCAAAAACTTATTTGTAGGTACTTTTCAAGACAACATATTGGCTCCAGGGTTGGGCTCAACTACAAAGACATGATGATGATATAAAGCTAATAAATGATGCATGTCGTAAACTTGAATCGACGATTATGCACCTTTTTACCAACTTCGGAGGGAGATTCTCAAATACTATAATTCAGTAATTGTGGATTCTTTTATCTTGTGTTGGTGTTTATTAGTTTGTGTTTATTTTATGTTATGTCAGTGCGTGCTATGTGTGTTTATCTGTGGATTTTGTAATAATTGATTATAGCTTATTGAGCAAAGGTCGGATTGTTTATTCTATTATTTTAAAAAAAAGTATAGCAAATTGGCTAGAAAATAAGATGCATGTGATGGACAAACCAGCTAGTAAAACGTGCTTTGTCTCAGTCGTAGGCTTGTAGCCTTACGTAACAAACTCTAATGATTGGATTTTGGATCCTCTTACTTGCATGGTAAAGTCAAATGAGCACAGTATCTATGACTCTGGGGATTTTGTAGCTGTCCAATTGTGCAACGAATGGACAAAATATGTGCTATATTATCCGATAGAAAATTTGAGCCGCTACAGGATATGTATACTTCTCTGCACCATAACTACAGTGAATCACTTTAGATAATTGTAGCAACATACTCGTGCTACCATTCCTCTGCCTTAATTTGTACCTGCAAGGCTAGTACTCCCTCCGTCCCACAATATAAGGGATTTTAAGTTTTTACATGTAACGTTTAATCACTCGTTTTATTCAATTTTTTTTGCAAATATAAAAAACAAAAAGTTGTGCTTAAAATACTGTGGATAATAAAGTAAGTCACAAATAAAATAAATAATATTTTTTAAAAAAATTAAATAAAACGAGTGATCAAACGTTGTAAGCAAAAACTCAAAATCCCTTATATTATGGGATGTGATGGAGGGAGTACAAGTTACGGGATCCTTTTCTTGAGCTATATTGTTTAAATTATGAAATTCTAGATTTTGACTTTAACGACCAAAACCAAACTGACGATAGCCTTCCAGAAGGCGACATTTAGTGTTGGGGTTGTCAACGATGGGAGCACCGATATCAGTGATGCTTATGGGCGTCACACATCTTTTTGGAGACGATGTTAGCTGATGCCTTCTTCCCCAACTTCGTATCTCGGGGTTGACTCTCTAAGTGAAAATCTAGTTATAAATGTTCAGAACAATGATGGCAATATCTACAATGTCGTGATCTTCTTGGAAACATACATTGGAGATAGTGTGCTGGTGAGGCATTATTGGCATCGGATTGGCTTTGATGGCTATGACGTTGGGTAAATGACTGATTTACTTAGTTACCTTCAATGTTATTTTCTGCTTTGGTTTAACGTTAGTCACTCATGGTGATGTATGCCAAATTCGATTATAGAAATAATTGACGTTGGGAAAAACTAAGGACTACATATAACTTGTACACTGTTGGGCAAAACAATGGTTATGCAGATAGAAGTATTCTTTAATCTTTAAAGTGATATTCATTTTTTAATCAAACTGTGAATTTTTTTTTCATTTGTAGTCATTTGCCCTGTAATTTTTATGACAATTGATTGTAGTTTCTTTAAAGAAAAACCGAAATAAATTATATTGTGTTAAAAATGAAAGAAACAGATGGCAGCGTTAAACTCCACCGGGGCTTGCAAAAACAGACGGATCTTGTGCAGGAGCATGAATCCGGTGCAAATCTAATGGTGAAAGTTCAAATGATTCACAAGAAAAAAAAATGGGTTGAGTATTGCACTTTCAGGAAAAGAAAGATGGCACACAGCGTCTCTCCTCAAGCAAGAAATGGACTTATTTAGTGATTTGCAATTGCACACGAGATGCAGTGAAAAGAGATGTGTAATTTTAACATCGAGCCCGTGTTTAATCTCTGTCTGGAGGACGTCTTTCCCTCCGAATCTCCCTTTTTTTATTTACAATTGCACACCCTAAAGTTATCGATCGGAGCACACGCGTGACGACGTGAGCAGCCTCTGCTTTCTCTACCGGTTGTATACATACATGCTCAACGAGCTATATGTATATAATTGGATGGTTAGTACTTCATATATACTAACGTGGAGGATCTCATCCTGGCCGGCGTCGTGGCTTCTTGGCCGGTGAAGGGCTCTCCGCCTCATCGTCGTCGTCGGCCTCCTCGCCGCACCGTCGTTGCTCGCCGGCGATCTCCTTGATGGGCGCCACGTTTAGGTCGAAAGCGGCGCCCACGCTCGCCGCCGTCGCTGCACTGGAGACCGTCGCCGACACCGATGGGCCATGCAAGTAGTGGAACCTCTTGTGCCCGCCCAGCGCCTGCCCGGTGGCGAATCCTCGCCGGCACAGCGAGCAGACGTGCCGCCGCCGCCGCCCGTCCGCCTCCGAGGCGGCGTCGGCGTCGGCGGCGACGCGGCCTGATGATGCCGGAGCAGCAGCAACGACGACGTCTCTGTGCGCGGGCGGCGCCGCCGCCGCCGCCGATGGCTTGCGGTGGCTCGCCTTGTGTCCGCCGAGCGCCTGGTACGACGCGAACGCCTTGCCGCAGAGCGAGCACCGGAAGTGGAGCTCCGGCGGCGGCGGCGCCAGCGCCAGCGCCAGCGCGGTGCTCTCCCCGCGCGCCGCGGCGGCGAGCGCCATGAGGCACAGGGAGATGAGGTCGCCGCCGTCGGCGGCGCCGCCGCCTTGCTCCATCACGTCACGCTATCCAACACACACAGCTCGTGTCGTGAAAATTGAAGGCGATACGTTTGCATGCGATTGCGTCTGTCCGTGGTGTGTGCTCTTATTTATGCGTGTAAAAAAACACGAATTGGAAAACTCTATTTATACTCTCGTTTTGCATGTAAATTAAAACGTTATCAACTTTTTTAAAAAAAATAGTATGATAGATCAATATGTTATACTCCCTCCGTCCCATAATAGAAGAGATTTTGACTTTTTTTTTCACTATTTAACCATTCGTCTTATTAAAAAAAATTTAGAATTATTATTTATTTTATTTGTGACTTACTTTATTATCCAAAGTATTTTAATCACAACTTTTCTTGTTTATATTTGCACAAATTTTTTTAATAAGACGAGTAATCAAACAGTGCAAGCAAAAGTCAAAATCATAAGATGGAGGGAGTATGTCACTTCATGCCTATTCAAATTCAACTTATACATGTAAAAATTCTTTTTATAGTCAAATTTATTATTTTTTTCGAATTATATAAGTCAAAGTTCAATTTGTATGTTTGTGAAAAGATATATCATATATTAATCTATCTTGATATTTTTTTTAAAAAATTATAACTTTTTAAACGCTACGTACAAAACGAGGACAAAAATCTACTTGCGAATCATAGTCGTCGCAAATGGCACGAAGAAATCGCGCGCGTCAAATCAAAGCAGCGCACAATGGCTGACGACGCGAACAAACTCCCGAGGTAAGAAGCTTGGAATTTGATCTGAACCATAAAAAAAAAAAGATACATGGCGATCGATATGTCGTAATTTCCAGTTTTCCACCAACCCACACGTGCACTTTTCTGTATATAATTCTCGACGTCATTTTCATCTCATTATGAGTTTACAAATTACAACCGGTCCAAGTTCGATCTCAACTTGCGAATTTTACATATGCAACTTGTGGATTTATGCATACCCTGAATAGTGAATACTCTGAAACCGGTGCCTTTTCTACGGAAGAGGGATGGGCCACTGTCTCCTGAAGCAATGCATATGATTCTCGACGTCATTTTCATCTCATGATGAGTTTACACCCGGTCCAAATTCGATCTCAACTTGCGAATTTTATATGTGCAACTTGCGGATTTATGCATACCCTGAATACTCTGAAACCGGTGTCTTTTCTACGGAAGAAGGATGGACCACTGTCTCCTGAAGCAACAAACACAGCTGCGTGCTCTTTGACTAGTTCAAAATTTGTCCAAAGGAAAACTCGATTCTGAAACCAGCAGGGATAAAGTTCTAGAACGATCATTTTATCAGTCCCCTTGTGCGGCATGACCTGCTTTTGTTTTACCTTCACCAGGTAGAATAAACATGCATATGACGAGTGCAATGAAGAGCACACGGAGCGCCAATCTTGAAAGATGAAAATCATAGCCTCATAGGCGAGTAATTGTATATGTACTACTCTATAAGCTCTTTAAAAAATATTTTGTAACGAATAAATTCATTTCATCATTATTAAAAAATATAGGAATGAGTGTATTTTGCACACATCTACACACTATCGCAAAGGTCAAAATAACACCATCAACACCGAGAAATTGGACATTCTACCACTTCTAAGATTGGGTTTTGCCACAATGCCATTCCGCGGAATGGCGTCGTTAAAATGCCACTTTCAACCTATGCCAAACCGTTGCTTTGCCATATTCGCCATTTCACAAGATTTTTACCATTTTTTGCACTTCAACTGACCAAAATGCCCCTCTCTCCTACAGTTTCTTTCTCTTCTCCGGTGAACATGTGGGATGGGGAGGAGACCACGACGGCAGGGTGGCGCTAACCTCAGGCTCGGTGCCACCACCGCCGGAGCTCTCCTCCTCGTCGTCCTCCTCTTGCTCTGCAAATTCAAGAACACAATCTTTGAGCTCAAACCACACACAATCTCCACAATCCGGAGAGCTAGCGAGGGCGAGGGCGAGCGCGAGGGCTGCGGCTCACCTCCCGCCGCCTTGGTCGCTGGCGAGGGTTTCGGCTCACCTCCTGCCGCCTTGGTCGCCGGCTCGTCGGTCTCCATCCCCGCCGCAGTTACCGTGCCGACCGAGCCCGAGACGACGATGCAGGTCCCGTCCTACCACGAGCTCCTCCTGGAGCTAGCCTTCTTGGGCCATGGTGGCGTGCAGCCTCCGGCGCGCGGCGGAGACGCTGGCGGAGGAGATGGTGACGAGCGGCGCACGGTGGTCAGCGGGAGGAAGCAGCGCGTTGGCCGGCGGGCGCGACGACGGAGGAGATTGTGGCGCGTGACGCGGTGGCCGGCTTAGGGTTTCCTTCTCTTTCTCCGATGTGCGGGCGGCGGGCTTCGGCCATGGGGGCGGGACGTCGCCGGCGGTGAGCTTGGGCAGTGCGGGCGTCGGCAGCACGAACGACTCACTTGTGACAGCCGGAGGGGTATTTTAGTCAGCTCGGGTGGAAAATTAGGTGGAAATAGAGAGAATTGGCCCAAATGGCAAAACAAATGTTTGGCATCTCTTGTGAGTGGCATTTTAACGACGCCATTCCGCGGAATGGCATTGTGGCGAAACCCACTATTGGCAGTGGCCTAATGTCCAATTTCTCATCAACACCAGTACACCACACCATGACACAAAACTGTCTCAAATTCCAAAAAGATTAATGCATAGAATTTGGAGAGAAACCGGATTTGGTGATAATGGGACCTCCTGGATGACATCTTCAAGGAGAAACGCAACACACGGAGCGATGCTGATGTCTGTCCAGATCTCAAGGGGATACTATACAAGGTTTTCACCCGATGGTCTCATCAAAGAGGGAAAGAGACACTTCCAAGAGGGAAAACGACGCCCAAAGGCATCGCCATTGTCTGCCACAAGACTGGGCTAGACTTTTGCCTTCCACCCACCCCGGTTGTTCTACAGCTACTGCTCCAAAGCCCCGATACCAAGTAGCGACTATCAACGTGTAGACACCGCTGTACCAACGTCCCCCTCCCCCGTTAGCCAGCCCCTACATGCCTTCATGTGCCAATGCTGCAACTATAACTGTATCACGCTATCATCGTTGCAAGCCTCCACCTTAGGGCGTCATCATTGCCGGTCACCATCCCCGAGCATCTAGACCTCAGGGGGCCTGGAACTTCCGACATTCTTTGACAGCACACCAGAAAAACGGTCATAACTCTTTGCTCCGGAGTCCGTTTTCAACAAAGTTGGGCTCTGCGGAAGGCTTATTGAGAGGGTTATTGTCGACGGGGGATACCCGTAGGCCGGATATAGAGGGTACTGGGGTACGCTGGTACGAAGATTTACGTAATACAACATCAAGCAGACAGAAAACAAAGATTATACTGGTTCAGGCCCCTTGATAGGTAATAGCCCTAATCCAGTTGATATGGGATTATATGATGGAAACCACAGATTACAGAGGGAAAAACAGAACTCGATGATACCGACGAGATCGTAATCAAACAGGTTCGATTAGATCTCTCGTCGACTTGGCTCCTGTAGGCTTCAACTCCGTAGGCTGTGGTGGATGTGCTGACTATGAGATTTGATGCCTTAGGTCCTCCCGGGGGGTCCCTTTTATATCGCAGGTCAACTGGTCTCCAAGTAGGACTCGGAGACATCAGACCCGGCATGATACAATGACGACCCAGTTTTGTCCGAGTAGGACTCCTTCCATCTGTGAACTCCATGATGAATTTCCTTAACGTATACCGAAAACGTCCGTATACACGCAAGTATATCATATCGATATGTGACGTATATCGTAGGGTAGAGGGTATACCTTACCCGTAACCCTGACAGTAGCCCCCGACTTCTGCATAACTGAACTCGTGTAACCGATCGTGACTTCTGATGTTGAGGTTGTTGTCGTTCTCGGTGTGAGGACCGAGAGACAAGGAGTAATTGACAACGCCAAGTGAAACTCAACAGTCATGAGTGAATTTAAATTAAAGTCCGAAAAACTGCCGCGCGTAACGGACCCAGAAATTTCCGGCGGCCATCTCTCTCCTTTCCTTGGAATCCGCACCATCGGAAGTGCGACTATTTAAGGGAGTTTTGGGGATCCATTTTGAAGTCCGCCTGTTGTGAAAAAACTCTCCAGCCTCCAAGCGTACCTCGTCTTCTCCGCTCCCGCAAAAACCCTAGCTAGCTCATCTCGGTCCTTTCTCCGGCGATCCCCGGCGGCAATAGACCTCGACAAGTCTACCTCCACCAGCGCGTCGCTGAAGAAACTACAGGAGGATGGCACCCTTCCCGGTCGCGGGACCATGGAGAGAGAAGCAGGAGGTATTGAACCCCAGCCTGTCCTGGGTCGCATGGTTGCGATCGAGGACTATATTCTCTGTGGTTTTCTTCTCTTGGTCTTGAACTTCTACGGCCTTTCTTTGCTCCATTTGAACCCCAATTCCATCGCCTTCCTCAGTATTTTTTCGCATCTTTGTGAGGCCTACATTGGGGTAGAGCCGTTTCTTGACCTCTTTCGTTTCTACTACGAGTTGCGTTGGATGGAATCCAACAAGGTATCTGGATGCGTCGGTTTCCGACTCCGGGATGGCCTGAAGTCGCGCTATATCCTTTTCCAGTGCCCTTCTTCTCGTAGCAAATGGCGGGCGAGGTGGTTCTATCTTCAGATAGAAAATTCGGATTCAGTCTTCGTTGTTCCTGAGGAACAACCAGACAAGATTTCGTCTCGGACCGCAAAACCCGCCTTAACCCCTTCTCTTCAGTCCTTCATCAATGCCATCGATGACCTCCGAGTACGAGGTTTGTCAGGGTATGAAGTCGCTGTCGACTTCATTGGTAGGCGGATCAAGCCGCTCCAGGCTCGAGCCCACCCAGCCTTTGACTATTCTGGGCCGGAGGACGCAACCCGGGTTTCTCCTCGGGGTATTTTTCTTGTATTTAAATTGACTTCCTTATGTGCGTGTTCCTCCTGACTTATCGAATTCTGGTTCTCGATCTACATGTTTGAACAGCGAAACCGTGGAGCGCCGCGTCGGCCAATTGATGATCAGCGGCCCGACAACGGCGAGCAAAGTCCCCGTCCCCCTTTGCGAGAAGGGGGCAGCCGAACACGAAGCTGCCATCAATGTAAGTGTACTCGGCGGCCCTTTCGCATTTTTCTTCGGGGATCGCATTGTGACTTCATGAAGTGTAGGCTCTCCCTCTGACTGATATCATCGGGCCGCTCGTGGATCATCAAGCAGCGGCGTCGCTG